TAACAAACGATATACAATGTAACAACGATATATATGTAACAAACGATTATTACAAATGGTTAACAAAACCGATTATTATAATTGGTTAACAAAACCGATTATTATAATTGGTTAACAAAACCGATTATTATAATTGGTTAACAAAACCGGTTTTTTATAATTGGTTAACAAAACCGATTATTATAATTGGTTGACAAAACCGATTATTATAATTGGTTAACAAAACCGATTTTTATAATTGGTTAACAAAACCGATTTTTATAATTGGTTAACAAAACCGATTATTATAATTGGTTGACAAAACCGATTATTATAATTGGTTGACAAAACCGATTATTATAATTGGTTAACAAAAGCGATTTTTTTATAATTGGTTAACAAAAGCGATAATTATAATTGGTTAACAAAACCGGTTTTTTATAATTGGTTAACAAAACCGATTATTTCGCCTTCAGAGAAATGATGCAGTTAAAGCTAAGGTGGCTTGGCGGTTTTATCCATACACTTGCCAGTTTAAATTATAATATTTTCAATAATACGTAAGAGGTGTCATTAAATCTAATTCTTGTCATAGATAACGTTATTTTCCAATCTCTATGGACGTTTTATATGGATTTGTTGGTTTAATATTTCATTTAAAAAAACAGCTTACAATTGAAGAATTTTATTCAATTTGAGCACTCTTTGTGTTAAATATAGTAAATCACTAACTAATTTCTCACACCAGGTGTCGGATTTGCCTCCATGACAATCGTCTGCTTGTGCAATATCTATTATGCAGTAATTATTTCGTGGACTCTTTTTTACCTTGTGTCATCCTTCACGAGCGACCTTCCCTGGAAAGGTTGTAACCAACCATGGACTTCCGAAAACTGTCTAGACCTTGAGTTTGAGAATATTACTGGAAAAAATATTTCATTCAACGACTCGTCGTCACCCATTCAGGAATTCTGGGAGTAAGTGACAAATAGTTTTCTTTCATTTTTTTCTATAAAAGTATCAATTAATTTGCTTACAAGTGCTACGTACGTAATGTTTTCCAACTGACAATGACTTCTGTGTAGATAATAGAAATTACTAAGATACCACTGTCTTCACGAACAATAACAAATATGCTACTGTTTTCACGAACAATAACAAATATACCACTGTCTTCACGAACAATAACAAATATACCACTGTCTTCACGAACAATAACAAATATGCCACTGTCTTCACGAACAATAACAAATATACCACTGTCTTCACGAACAATAACAAATATACCACTGTTTTCACGAACAATAACAAATATGCCACTGTCTTCACGAACAATAACAAATATACCACTGTCTTCACGAACAATAACAAACATACCACTGTCTTCACGAACAATAACAAATATGCTACTGTTTTCACGAACAATAACAAATATACCACTGTCTTCACGAACAATAACAAATATGCCACTGTCTTCACGAACAATAACAAATATACCACTGTCTTCACGAACAATAACAAACATACCACTGTCTTCACGAACAATAACAAATATACCACTGTCTTCACGAACAATAACATTTGCCGAATAAAAATAGTAATATTCTGATACAGGCTTTGTAGAGTCAATAAAATGTCATCATACTTAAACTGTGGGATCCATTCTGTTTTGTGGGAATAAATCACATTTCTAATCTCTTATCAGTAGATCATTCATGATTTGTGGGAGGCCAAATCAGGTTCATTATGTAGGGGAGGTGAAGGCTCGTTCATTATTTGTGGGAGATAAATCTCAATACACGGGGGAAAATGTCACTGCAGGAGAATCACAAAAACACATCATACCATGATTATACAAATAATTTTCATTTCAAAAGAGGGAAAGCTCTGCGCAGACATATAGTATATCATAGCTTAAACCTAAACACGATGTATAATGCTTCAGAAAACATGCAGTATGTTATAGGATAAACCTAAACACGATGTATAATGCTTCAGAAAACATGCAGTATGTCATAGGTTAAACCTAAACACGATGTATAAATGCTTCAGAAAACATGCATTATGTTATAGGATAAACCTAAACACGATGTATAAATGTTTCAGAAAACATGCAGTATATCATAGGATAAACCTAAACATGAAGTATTAATGTTTCATAAAACATGCAGTATATCATAGGATAAACCTAAACACGATGTATAATGCTTCAGAAAACATGCATTATGTTATAGGATAAACCTAAACATGAAGTATTAATGTTTCATAAAACATGCAGTATGTCATAGGATAAACCTAAACACGATGTATAATGCTTCAGAAAACATGCAGTATGTCATAGGATAAACCTAAACAGGATGTATAATGCTTCAGAAAACATGCAGTATGTCATAGGATAAACCTAAACAGGATGTATTAATGTTTCATAAAACATGCAGTATGTCATAGGATAAACCTAAACACGATGTATAATGCTTCAGAAAACATGCAGTTTGTCATAGGATAAACCTAAACACGATGTATTAATGCTTCAGAAAACATGCAGTATATCATAGGTTAAACCTAAACACGATGTATTAATGTTTCATAAAACATGCAGTATATCATAGGTTAAACCTAAACAGGATGTATAATGCTTCAGAAAACATGCAGTATGTCATAGGATAAACCTAAACAGGATGTATAAATGCATCAGAAGAAAACCATAAAAATGCGAAAATTCCTTTAGCAAAAATTATCAAATAAAGTGAACTAGAAAATTATTCCAAACACATTGAACTGGTATTTTTAAATACATTCTCATACGTTTAACTAAAAGGTTTATAACATTAAAGCCAATCTGTAATGTTTCACACTACATTCCATGATCACATTAAAGAAATATTTTTACTATAATGGACGTAACGAGTATGTCAGTATCTATGTATCTAACGAAAACTCCTGCGCCATCTATTGAATGGCACAAGAAACAAAAATCCATAAAAAATGTCACACTTTGGGTATTCAAGATTCATGCAATTAGAAATATAACTGTGGTATGTGTAACAATCATTTCTTTATGATATAACACCATTCTCCTCACAACAAAAACACGACCTTCACTAGGACTGTACGTGAGGGTTTGATTATATCTTTATTGTTGTAATTTTTTAATGTAGTACTAAGAAACTGGAGTTCTTAAAAAAACTATAATATTTTCCCAATAAACGGTATCACTTTTAATATATAAAAACATTACAGTTTATATCAGTAAAACTTACGAAAATTTTGAGCTCTGTACATTGAATTATTTTAACGCAATGAGTTGCGTATGACTAAAGAGAACAATCCGAACACTGCAGTACTTCCCAGGAAAAATAGCCTTTTTTAGAAAATGTTCACTAAATGTATCTCAATGAGGTATGACTGGTAATTACTAGTACAAACAACTGCCCATAGGGCGGCGTTTCTGCTAATACAGTTAATTATGAGTGATGAAGAAAAATACTTTATCGTTTTTAATGTATAATAAGTTGTTTTAGTCATGATTTTCCGAACTGATCTGAGCTAATCTACAAAACTGTGTTACTGAGATTTTAACGTTTCTGATGTATAGTAGATTTTCCTACCTGGTCTAAGGTAAAGAAGAAAAATTACCTGTTTTTGAAAGTGTATATTTTTTTATTTATTATATGCCATTGTAGTCGTGATTGTGCTATCTGATCTGAACTAATGTAATAAACAAATGCTGAGTAAGAGAATCGTTTCCAAAACAAAACATGTTTTCCATGGAATTCTGAGAACTCGACTTTTCGCTGCAAGTCCATTCTGTGTAACGAGTTTTACGCAAGTCTCGTCTTTCCAGGAAGATCGTGTTGACATACTTCACATGGTTTTTCCGTATCGAAAAATAAACACGTCTCAATCATCAGATTCTTACTGAATGATGAAACCCGGTTGTAGGTTTCTCATAACGCGTGGTTCATGTGTATTCATGTCCAATGCGTTTCATTCATCTCCAGTTTGCTCATATTATTTGACCGAAAAAAAAAGGATACAAAAAACAAGAAAGAAAAAAGCAAAAGAAATATAACCTTCGGGACGTTTAGATAAACTTACAGTTTGTAATTAATGCACGCCATCTTCCGTGAATAAAATATAGCTTGCATGTATACTCATATTTCGTATAGAGAAACTTGTGTGTTGTAATTAAGATGCTACCTATGGTGAATAAAACATAGCTTGCATATATACTCATATTTCGTATAGAGAAACTTGTGTGTTGTAATTAAGATGATACCTTTGGTGAATAAAACATAGCTTGCATATATACTCATATTTCGTATAGAGAAACTTGTGTGTTGTAATTAAGATGCTACCTATGGTGAATAAAACATAGCTTGCATATATACTCATATTTCGTATAGAGAAACTTGTGTGT